ACTAACATTGGTTTTTTTCAATTAGGCATCTTGGCCTAAAAGGTATAAAAGGGATCAAAGCAACCTACAAACTAGATAATTATTTGCCAAATTGTTGCAAATTGATTGAACTTAATTTTGTTGTGATTCCAATTTCCTATGTTTTTCTATTATCCACTTTGTATATAAGGCAAAACTTAGTAGTAATCTGGGAACCCTTACCATTGTTGAAAGAGAGGATTCTTAAGGTGCAAAGGATCCATTTTCTGTCAAATAGATTCCTAACCTAGAGTGCATGAAAATTTTTTTAAGTGTCGAGATAGTAGCCAGCTTTGTTCTGTAGTATCAAAAATGCTATTTTAGATACAAGAATTCTTTGTACATATTGTTATAGAATCATGTATGATCCAGTGACACTGACCACCTTACTGTTCATTGCACAAAACATTCCATTTCCTGACTCTAACCCAGATTTGCCTGGAATGCTTACATAGGGAAATAAAGAATAAATCCAAAGTAGTTAGGGAAGGGAGAGCATTACCAGCTGGGTAGAATCTGGAAAGGCTTTGTGTAAAAAGTGATGCTTGTGGTGGAAAATGCTTTCCACAAAGAAAGAACTATGGAGTTTGAATGCAGTTCAAAGCATACTATTTGCTATTTTTTTCTTCTGTTGTGTTTTGTTTCCTCTTTCTGGTGGCTCTTCTTATTGGTTCTAATTCTTACAATATCACTAATGTGAAAATATGTTTAATAGCAATGTCTATGTATAGCCTATATCAGATCGCGTGCTGTCATGGGGAAGGAGAGGGAGAAAAATTTAAAACTCAAAAGCTTATGGAAGTGATTGTTGATAATTCAAAATAAATTAATTAAAAAAAATAAAAAATGATGCTTGAGCTGTTGTGTCATGAAAGAAGGGAGGGATTCTGTGAGGCTGGAGTGCTTTCTAGTCTGGGAGAGTTCCTGGTGCAAAAGGCATCAAGATGAGAGATAGATCTTATGTATCAGGAATAGAGAGAAGGCCAACTACAGAGCTTGGGAAAGCAGGAAATAATATATAATGAATCTGGAAAGGTTGGTTGGAGTCATTTTGCGAAGGGCTTTAAAAGTCCAGAGTTTATATTTTATCCTAGAGACAATAAAAAATTGTTGGAATTTATTGGGTAGGGGAGGTGTTTGTGGCACCTTCTAACCTCCCTTGCTGCAAGCAAACAGGTAGTTTGCTGTCTTGATGGTACCCAAGTCTAAACTCTGGTTACTAAGGTCCTTGTCTACTCTTCACCCAGGGAAGTATAGTGGAAAAGACAACTGTGCATATCCAAAACAGAATTCATTATGTTATTATTATGTTATTCATTATTCATTACCCCAAATCTAGCCCTCTTCCAAATTTCCTTGTTTTGAAATGCTGAGAACACCATCGTACTTCCAGTCACCCAAGTTTGCAGCCTTGCTGTTACCTTTGACCCATTACTTTGTCCTTCAACCTGCATATCCATTTTCTTGCCAGATCTTGTTGATTGTATTTCCACAGCATCTCTCAGATCCATCCCCTTCTCTGCTTTTAATTACCTTTTTTTTTTTTTCAGAAACCCATTACCTCTCTTGCCTGGACTGTTGCAGTAGCTTTCTAATGAATCTCTGCTTCAAGTTTCTCCCCTCTCCAGTTCATCCTCCACATAGTTTCTGAAGTGTTAATACTAAAGCACAGGTCTGACCATTGTCACTCCCCTTCTCAGTGAACTACAGAGATTCTCTTACCTCTAGGATCAAATACAAACTCTTGACTTGGAAGCTCTTCACTATTTGTCTCCAACCTAACTTTCCAATCAAATTGGTATTGGTCTTCCCATCATGACACTCCTTCCCCCATAACTGTACCTTTGCACACGTGATCTTCCATGCCTGGAATGCATTCCTTTCTTCACCTCCACCTCTTAGAATCTGTATTTCCTTCAAAACTCAGCTCAGGTAATAGTTTTTATGTGAAAACTTTCTTGATCTCACTAACGTAGGAGTGCCTTCCCAAATTTATATGTGTGTGTGTGTGTATATATGTATATACGTGTGCCATCTTTCCTAAAAACATGGACACTTCTTGAGGGCAGGAACTTTTGTTTCTGTCTTTAATTCCCTAGAACCTAGTACATAGTATGAACTTGATCAGTTGACAGTGTCAGAAGTTCAAGTCCTGGTTCTCCAACTTAATTGTGTGATCTTGGGCAAATGATTTCTCTTTGAACCAGTAATATGAGGGCATTGGAATAAATCACAGGTGTCAGACATCTGAGGCCTGCAATACTTCCAGATGTGACCCAAGCCTGATTAAAATGTAATTGAGAAATATTTGACAAAATAAGTAAAAATATGATAAAACATAGATTACATTTTAAAACTAGCCCAACAGAGATCCTCATGTACAATTTTCTATTTGAATTTGACACTACTAGAATAAATGATCTTGATATTCCTTTTCATCTCCTAATGATTGTGTACAGTCACTAATTAGCATATCTATGCTGATACTCTGCTTTTCTCCCAGTGCTAGCTGTATCCCAAGCCAACAAAGATCTTTGCAAAGCCTTGTCAGAAAAGCTCCCTGCTCACTTTTTTTAATTGTTTTCTGTCTTCTGCTTATTTGCTTTGCTGTGTCTGCTGTTTTTTGTGCTATGAGAAAGTTTTTTTTTATTGTTAAAAAAACTAATTTGTCTATTATAGTATTCCTCTAAGATATGTACCTGGGTTTTCACAACGTTTTAGGAAGGAGAATCTCAAGTATGATCAGTGACATTTAGAAAGAGAAATTTTTTGGCTCTAGTAGCTTGAGAAAGGTATTAAAAGGGAGAGGCACTTTTTTGTTTGTTTTTTTTAAGCCATTTATCATTAGGAATGATCTGGCCTAATTTACAGAATCTGAAAAAACCTGAATGTAGATAGAAAACACAACTGGTAAAGGGCTTGACACTCTAATTTAATTACCCATAATTATAATGACTTATAACTTTTTATCACTTTGTTTTATAATGCCTTGTACATAGTAGATACTTAATAAATGTTTGCTGAATTGAATTTTCATTAAAATCACTTGCTTAAATTCATGAGGTGAATAAGTGGTGAGGCCAGGACTAAAACTTAGGTCTTTTGATTGCTAGGTCCGATGTTTTTTCCATTACACCATGCTCCTATCCAGGACAGATGTCCAAATTAGAGAGCCTTTGCAAGGCACTTAACTTCGCAGAACTTCAGGTTCCACATCTGTAAAGGTGAATAATGGTACTTCAAAGACCCGCCTCACAGTTTTGTTTTAAAGATCAAATGGAATAATAAATGTAAAAGGCTCTAAACGTGTAAGCAGTTTTAAACTTTTTTCCTAGTTAAACTGTGCCTTGGTGTATTCATCTGTTTAAAATCAAGAGGTGAGTTGAACAGTTGAAATAACATCTCAGTCACAATGAGTTTATGTTTATTTGAGTATCCTTAGGATATATGGATTTATATTAACCACTTTGATGGCATATCTATTAGAGGACTGTTTTTGTTGTTGTATTTTTTTAAATCCTGAGATTGCTTAGACACGGAGGAAATTATACCTAGTGAAAGTACTTTTTCAGTCTGTCTAAGAAACTATGTTTTCACATCTGACTTTGGTTCTTCCAGTAGTCAAATCTCACTACGATTTGTGGGATAAAGATGGGAAATTTCAGGGCTTTAACAGGAATTGTTGGAGTGAAATTGTTTAACAGGAATTGTTTGACTAAAAGAATTTCTAGAAAAAGAAACAATACTTGCTGACATGGAAAAAGAATAAGCATTGGGAATTGCCTACTACTCTTTATTACAGCAGCATCTCCAGAAACCATTTTGTCTCTTTTCACCACTTCTCCCTCATTCCCCCCATTTTCTCTAGACAGTTGTTTAGTAATCACTGCTGTTACATCCTTTTTATAAAAAAAAGAAGTTGATGTGCTGTGTCGGTAGTACCCTTCCCTCAGAGCCTACTGAGAATTTATTGAGAATTACTGAGAAATTGCTGAATTTGTATAAATTCTATATTTTGTTTTCTTTGTATATATTGTTTTCTTCTTGATAAAATGCGACCTCCATGAAGATTTTTGTCTTTGTATCTTCAGCCTTTCACACAGTGTCTGGCATCTAGTAGACTTTAATAAATATTTGTTGAATGAATAAGTAGAAAATGTGGGAAAGTGTTCAGGGTTGGAGATAGAGGTCCTGAGGAAATTCACATGGAGCTAATAGCTGGAGCCATTGGACTTCATATCTCAGTTGGGACTTTGGGCAGGTTACTTCATCTTCCTAGGACTCAAGTTCCTCATCTGTAAAATGAGGGGATTGAATTATATGGTCTTATATGTCTCTCTCTCTCCCAGCTCTTCTATGACCCTATGAGCCTTTGACTAAATGAGGTCTCTCTAAAGGACTGAGGGTGGAGAAGAGAACCAAGGATCAACCTTTGGAGAATCTTTACATTTAAAGGTCAAAAGAATGAAGAGAGAATGAACAAATAATTTTTTAAAAAAATATTCACCCTTCATTTCATTACTTTTAGACTATATAAAATGCAATTCTTCTAGTATCCTAATTTTTTGATATTTCTCCCCCCAAAAAGTTGAAGTTTGTTTTATCAAATTTTATATGAGGTTTGTATTATCAAGTACTAGGAAATTGCTCTGATTTCAGTCTATGATAGATTGGTACACTTTTAATTACTGAGTTTTAAAATGTTAGTAAGATAAATGGAGTATTATCTAACAAAGGCATTGATTTTTCTCCTTTTAAGTTTGTTTATTATATTATATAATAATAATGTGTATCATTATATTAAGAGGAAAATTAGAACCATCATCATACCCCCTAACAACTTAAAACTTGACATCTTGTTATTTACTTCGGGTAGCTAGATTGCCATGTAAATATGTAGATGTCATGTTATGAAGCATTAAACGAAAGAGAAGTCAAGTAGTAGCACTCTTCATTTCTAATGGAATTCTTCTTCTTTTTAGAATTGGTAGATGTCACATGTACCCTGCTACTTCTAAACCCAGACTTTACCACTGCATGGAACGTGAGGTATGGCACCTGCATCAAGAGTTTGACCAGATTTCCGAAGTCACGTGAGCCCCAGGATTTTTTTTTTTTTTAATTCAAACTAAGTTAGCCATAGTGTTTTTTAGAAATTTCCCCCTTTTGACCACTTTCTTTAGTGGTCACCAAGCACTAGAATATTGACTTGCAGAATTTGTTTACGGTATCATGCCTTTATCTTATTTTATAAAACTGTTCTTGAAATAGAATTGCCATTTTGCATTGAGATGTGTTTTATGTATATTTTTATGCTATTTAAAGTCTTAGGCAGGTCCTCACCTGTAAAATCAGGAAATTGGCCTAGATGATTTTCTAAAATCCCTTAGAGTTTTAAATCTTTATTACCCTATTTTTTCCTTTTCTTATAGTATGATGTAACTCATTAAATTTGATCATGATGTATTAGACAGTACTTTTGAGTTAATATGGTGTAGTGGAAGGAGCATTGGACTAAGTTGGGAGACCTGAGTTCTCAGGCACCTTATGACCTGGAGCAAATCACTGTACCTCCCAGCTTCAGTTTTCTCATCTGCAAATAAGGGGGTTGAACGAGGTGATCTCCAAGGATGTTTTTACCTTTACAATTCTGTGATTTTCTTTAACTGTTGCAGTAATCAACAATTTAAATATAGGCAGGTAGGTGCTTATCTAAAGAAAGATTTGTCAGATCTTGAAATAGCTAGAATAATACCTTAATGAAATCATACCTGTGCTGAAAAGTTGTGAGGTCCATGTAAAGCAAGGTTTTTTTTCCCACTGCTTTGCCTCCCAGCTAGCTAAATTTATGAACAGAGTTTATTGATCTAAGAAGAAAAGACAGCAAGGATTAGCTGTCATGCTATTGTCTGTGGATAGTCTGTAAAAACAAAATGCTCTTGAAAGGAAAATAGTCAGTAAATACTATTCATTAGTGCTGCAGTTTTTTAAAAATAGTTTTATGCAGGACAGTTACTGATTTTAAAAAGTAGAACTGAGCATTAATGTTTTTCTCTAAAAAAGAAAGTTATTTTTCTCCATTTATCAGTGGAATTTTAGAAATACTCAGATTTTAGAGGGGGAAATGCTTGTCTTATTTAGAGAGTCTGGTTCTGTATCTGTGTATGCATTATAGAGAAATGAATCGGGTTGCAGGCTAAAAGTGTTATACTGACATGGAATCTACTTTAGAGTTTTCCTTATTAAAATCCTTATTAAAAGATATTATTAATCTTTTCTTCAAAAGGGGTATCATAAAGATTACATGAGGGATCATTTAAACTCAGAGAAAAAAAGTTGTTTAAATATAAAATTAATTGGGAGGGCTATTTTGTAGCACTAAATTTTATTCTCTAAAGAAACATTAGAATTACTTAGAATTTTTATTTTATTGATGTTTGGCATATGAGTTTAAAATTTTGCTTTGTTACTAAGACCTTATTTCCGTTGTTCATAGGCACTCATCAGAGAATGACATACAATTCTGTAGTGCAGGGCCCAAGCAGTACTTGAGTAGTAACTGGCTTTCTTCTGGGTATAGTAAAGGTAGTTATCTAGGTGAGTTTGGAATGGATGACTGACTAGAAAAGCCAGTGACCCCTATTTTTGTACTGTCTCCTGTCTTCATCAAATTATTCTTGGTGAACCATGATTCTGAATGTGAATCCTCCTTAGTTTGAGAATGGAACAGAAAGTTGTAGTAGAGAAGATATATATAGATATAGATAGATATAGATATCACATAGATATGAGTCACACCTTCATTGTGTACAAGTCAGAAGGAACCTAAAGAGCCTGAAGTGGGAAGAGGATTCTGAAGCTTACGCAGGGTCAAAACTAGGAATCATAATGAGTATAAGAGAAACCAATGAGAAACAAACCCTGGAGTTCAGATAGCATTAGTGTGGCACCTGGCCAATGATAGGTGTCTAGTTAAATAGTGATTTCAGTTTGCCACCCCCTGTTGGTGTGTGGGTATATGTGTATTTTATATGTAGTCAGCCCCATCCAGTCTTCTTTCTTCAGTTTGAGATCCCTGCAGCTGTCACCTATTATTGGTATCCCTGGCCATAGTCAAATGCACACATCAGACAGTGTATGCTAGTTAACTGAGGTTTTATAGTAGATATATAGTGGTAAAACATTCCACTTATAAACATTAGCCTGTTTGAGAGGCAGTGTGGTATAGTAGAAAGAACAATGGACTTTGTCTTAGCTCGTCCACATAGACACTATGGACTAGGCATATCATTCTGTTTTCTCATCTGTAATCTGGAAATAATGCTTGCATTACTTTTCCATTACTATTAGGGTTCTTCTTCATCTAGAAAGTAACTTCAGTACTTCCAAAAATCCATTATTTCATTAATGTGGATACATTCTTCACTGGCATAGTTCACAGTCCCTCCCCACCTTAGGATTTAGTTTCATGAGTTTTGTGGCCCTCCCCCCCAAAAAAAATTGGTTTCGGCTGGTCCTTCACCTTCTCTTAATGTGCCTCTTTGAACTAAGGCTTTTTCTTGGATAATAGTCCATCACCAAGCCAGTTCTTGAAGTCTTTCCAACTTAGTAAGACCTGCCAGTACTTACTGGCATAAACTTTGAAAACCCTAGGTTACCTTTACACCATAACATGGCATTGTAGCAGGGTTTTTGTGAAGGGAAAAAGAATTTGAGAGAGGTATAAGTAGAAAGGAAAGAGCGAAATATGACAAGAAGAAAGGACTTTACAAACTATAATAAATGTGAGCTATTTTTTAAAGTCATAGGAATATGCTTTTGATCGTTGTGATATTGAGAGGGTGCTACTATTGTTAATTTTTTTTAATGGGGTAGTTCATTTCATTCTGAGCTTGCATTATGTCCATTACAGTTTTTCAGCAGGAGGATTGCAATGATGGTTTTGTTGTTTTGTTTTTTATAGGAAAGAGCTAATCCTATCTGGCACTTTAAATCCAATTAAGGACTTGCATCTGGGAAAACTGGCCTTAACTAAGTTTCCAAAGAGTCCGGAAACATGGATTCACAGGTCTGACTAAGTTAAGACCCAAATTCTTTTATTCTTGCTTTGTAAGAGATGGATGGAAAGGGAAATAGTAGAAACCCAGCTACTATTAGGCTTATCAACTTGGGCTGTTAAATGCGTCTGGCTGAAATGTGGGTTTATATAAAGTGGGTTTATATAACAAGTGTATGGACACTGAAAGAAATGTAGCTTTCCCACAGTGGGAGATTTTACTTGGGCTTATTCAGACCAAGGAAATAGCTATCAGATTAATTTTTTTTTAATTAGTCAAGTAATTGTGTTCTCCTCTTATTAATATAACTTGGTCTGGATTCCTATTTAGACTATAGGAACACGAGAAATGTAAGATAAAAGAAAGCTTTTAGGGAATAGTCAGATTAGCTGACTTTCCTTAGATCTAATTGCTTCAATGCTAATTATGTTTTCAGTGTCCATATTTCTTATTACTTGAGAAATAAAGTAAAATCAACTAAAAGATTATCTATTATGGTGGATAATATAATATTCAGGTATATCAAACTACATTTTCGCTGGTAACCTATGGCTTTTTGGATTTCTATAGGCTACTGATGTAAACAGAATAGTGTATTTTATGGTGGAAGTTTGTATTCATGTTCTAATACACAGTTTATAATTTCCACGTGCAAAAAAAGTGATATTTATGAAGATGTATAATTTTCCAGAGAATATGGGCCAAGGATAGAAGTGTAGCATTACCAGAGCTTTTAGAAAATAGAAAACCCTAGGGGATTTATCAGAAATTGATTCAGAAGAAAAACATACTTAAGTTTCCTTTTTTTTTTGTATAATTGTACAAATGTTTAAAAAAAAGAAAGCATCGTGCATCAAAATAAATGTTCTTTGCTACTTGGCTTTTTAAACCTTTCCCATATCTCACAAAAGACAGCCATCTTTTTCGTTGACAACTGAGTGCTATGCACTTTATTCTTTCATTAATGAATTCCAGTTGATACAAAAGCAATGTCTTCCAGCTTCATATTCGTCTATTACACTCTTCTTTCACTTTGCTTAACTATTATAATTCTTTTCCAATGTCTACAAAATAACTAACTTAAAGTGTATAACTTACTAATAATAGTAGTTGCCAAGAGAGACAGTTAGCAAATTGGATATAAAAGATATACATTTGGGAGTTATCTGCTTAGGTAAAGAAACATCAATGCACCCTGAGGAAGATGGGAGGTAGCATATGCCAGACAAGCCAAACCATTGTCACCAACTCCCCTCAAACTCTTATGGAGACAACCCAGCATTCCAAGCCCAAAGGCCTTGGGAATAACGGGGCCTCACAGACCATTGTCCTTGCTTCTAGCCTGTTGCCCACAGTAGTCATGGAAGGGAGTAGCCCTTGTCAGTAATAGTCCTATCATTTTTGCCAACACCTGCACCAGCCACTGACCAACTGCCAACAGGCAGAGAAATCCAAAAACCTCAAGAATAGCAATATCCCCAGATCATTTACCTTGATTCTAGCTCAGCCCTGAAGCCATCCTCTAGAGGAGCAATTCCATCCCTCCCTTCCAGCTGCCATCACCAGGGCAGGCAAGCCAGTGTAGTAGAAACAGCAAGACAGCTTGAGACAAGAAGCAGCATAGGCCAGACAGGTCAAACCACCACCTCATACCATATTCCCTCAGACCCTGATGTAGACAAATCCAGTGTTTTGAGCCTCAGAACCCTGGGAATAGTGGTATCCTCTCAGACCACTGACTCTACATCCAACTCAGCCCCAAAGCCACCACAGAGCATATTAGCCCTTGTGAAGATAAGACCTAACAACTTAATCTACACGTTTCAGTCCCTGCCTTCTCAGCAGCCTGATGAAGACCTGGAAAAGAAAGTTTTCTCCACCATGAAAATGACATTAAAGAATACGTATTTCCATCTTCTTTACCGTGAGACCTTTCCCTCTGATTTGCTGAGCAGCCTTCTATATGTGTCGTCTTTCCTTAATAGCATGTGAACTTCTTGAAAGCAGAAACTCTTTTATTTTTTATTTGTATCCCCAGGGATTCCCACAGTATTTTACATACAGCAAGCACTTTCTTATTTAGTCAGTCATATACATATAGGGGTCATAGGAATATGTGTCTTCATAATGTTCTACTTTAGGGGTCCATAATGTGGATATGATAAGGGGGCTTAATGGTGAGTTTAATAATGAGAGATGAGACTAAGTGCCCTAAATTCATCTCAGTGTAGTAATAAAAGAGAAGTTATGGATTTGTGAGTGAAAAGTTGTTTTGAAAGGGTAGGCAGAGCTGAGGATGCCAGAATTGAAGAGATAGGAGCATTTCTAGAATAAAGGCATGGAGTTAGAGGGCACAGAGGCACATTCTTAGGTTTTAGAATCCTGGGCATCTGCATATTTTTTCTCTGTCTCAAATTTCCCCACTCTTTTTCACCTCTAGGGCAAAATCTAAGCCTACTGGCAGGTGTCCATAAGGAAATACTTTGGAGGAGACCTGTCCTAATTTGTATTGCCACTGTCCCACCCCAGGTTTTATAGGTAACCTATGACTAGCTTTGCAAATTAAACCCCTCAGATTTTTTCCACCTAGATGCTTTCATTCTTTCCTATAAGAAGTAAGAGAAAATGGTACAGTGGAAAGAGCACTACTTCTGGAGTGGGAGGACCTAGGTCCAAATTCTGCCTGTCACTCACTCTCTTAAGCATTGGAAAAATTAGTTAACATCTCTGGGCGTCTGTTTCCTCATTAGCAAAAGGAGTAACTGCAGTAAATAGTGTCTTAATACCGCTTTCAGCTTTAGTTCTTTGATTCTCTGAACCCAGAGATACACTTTCTACCTAGTAGTGCAGTCAGCATATTGTGGTTGAGTGAATAACAGTGTGGAGCATGAAATAATCAACAATCCTGTCACTACAACTAAGGTTACCTCCATTTATCAGTTTTGCTGAACTTCTTTAAAAAGGCTCAATTTTTAATGCTGGACAAATACTGACAAGTTCCTTGGTTTAAACATAGCAGAATGTAATTCCTTGCTAAATTCTCTATCCATTTGTGTACCTAAGGATAGGAAATTTTAGCTTAAAAGAACAGTTCATTTTTGAAGACATTGAAAATATCAATTAATTAGATACACCTTTTCAGTAACTTTCTTTTGGGAAAGGAAAGTTTGTTAACACAGATTTTAAGTAGAAAACATATCTTTGTGGGCAAAATCAAAGGAAAACATTTTAAATCTTCTGGATGATTGAATTAATGATATTCATTTTCCTGTGTACTTATATATAAGATAGGACAGGTTAGAAATTGTGTTTAATGTAGTCAATTATGGACAGCTTTCTCTTCTTTTAAAAATATCTAACAAGATATACTAAGTAGGAACAAAGGGAATGGATAGCATGTGACATGTAGGCAGATATAAGCTCCTTCCCAATACATCTCTACTCTCAGCACATGATTCATCCATTTTCCTACCTGTTTTTATTACACTTATTCTGAAAAATATGCACAATTTTTATGGAATTAATGACGTTTTATGAATTCTTGAAAGGTATACTTGCATGTAGTGCAAACTATAGCTGTTTTTTTACTCATCTGAAAAAGTTTTGAATGCAGGATTAGTAATGGGTTTGTATGTTTATTGTCCAAGCCTAGCTAAGTGTAGATAGGCTAATCACCAGAAGGTTGGCCATCCAGTGATGATTTTTTTTTTCCAACCATACCAGCTCACAGACATTAAAGGCTCAAAGGGAGAGCAATATTGATGCTGACAAAATTATAGTTCTTTAAGTATCAAATTGTAAATGGTTTAATTTCTTTTTCTGCTATCTTGATAAATTAGTATCCACAAAAAAATTTTTTTTTTCCTACTTTCTCCCCACCCCCAGCTCTCTGGCTTAATTTCTTCTACGCTTTCATCCTTTATGCCATTTGTCCAGGCGATGGGTGCTACAACAACTAATTCAGGAAAACTCCTTACCCACTTTTGTGAAGAAAGAGAACTTGGCAACATTTCTCACAGAAAGAGTACAACGAATAGTGCAAGAGGAGATCGAGGTCTGTGGTGAAGCTGCTGGGAGATACCCAAGTAACTACAATGCCTGGTCTCATCGCATCTGGGTCTTGCAACACTTGGCAAAGTTGGATATCAAGGTATGTCAGTTATTTTGGCCAGAATGCTTCTGTTTTAAGTCTTGTGATGTCAGCTAGTCTTGAGAGAGAGCTTCAAGACAGTAAAGTAGAGGAACTAATGGCCCAGTAGCCCTGAGAAAGTTGGTGCAACTGCTCTCTTCCAAGGATTGGTAAAGCAGGGATGTTGTAAGGCTTTACTGAGTTCTTTGGTAGTGTAGCTTTTGTTTTTGTTTTTGTTTTTGTTTAGGAAATGGGGTTAAGTGACTTGCCCAGGGTCACACAGCTAGTAAATGTTATGTGTCTGAGGCCGAATTTGAACTCGGGTCCTCCTGACTCCAGGGCTGGAGCTCTATCTACTGCACCACCTAGCTGCCCCGGTAGTGTAGCTTTTGTCCTATTATACTAATGTATTGATAAAGAAAAGGCAGGTTTAATTGATCTTTTGGCTGGGAGGTGAAAGTCTGTGTGTGCTGTCTTTGGCCATAAATAATAATGGGTTGTGTACCCTATAGAATCTAGCATTCTAATGCCTTGATGTTTTCTGTGTGTGCTGAGCCTATTGTCTACCCCATCTTAAGTTTTTAACTCCACCAACTATGTAGTAATACATTCCCTGTACATTATGACAACTTCAGATAAAAATTCTTTGAATGCTAAAATTAAAGTGGATATGTACCTCTTTGAGGAGTCTTCCATAATTGGAAATGGGAGTGGAGGTATGTATAAATGGAGCTCCATCCATGGAAATGAGAGCCAACAAGGCAAAGATCAAAGTACCTCTATTGTCTTTTTCATTCTCAGTATTGGGGCAGGAGTTGTGGTGGTGGTGGGGCCGTGAGGAAAGGGGGAACACTGTGAATGTTTCTCTCTTTTGGAAGCCCAGTCTTCTCCCTCTTCTAGCTAAACCTCTCCCTGACTCTTAAATCTACATTTGTGATGAACATGAAACAATTTTTTCCTAATAGTACTTGCCCTTCATTCCCTGAATGTAGTGTGTGTTGTATTGGATGGATTCTTCCTACTTTATATAAGATTGTACATCTGGATATGCTGTTTATCTGGTTGATAGGTACTACAACAACTAATTTGGGGAAAACTTTGCCCACTTTTGTGAAGAAAGAGAATTGACAGCATTTCCCACAGAGAGAGTACAGTGAATAGTACAAGAGAAGACCAAGGGCTAGGGGAAGTTGCTTGGAAGTCTGAGCGGGAGGGAACTCAGAGGCCACCTAATCCAGCCCACTCACTTTGTGGAGAGGAAATAGGACCCAAGGGGCTTAAGTGACCTACTCAGGGTTCCATAAGCAGTAAGCATTAGAGGCGAGATAGAAATTTCGGGATAAATTGAGATAACCAGTTTGTCCTTTTAGCTCTTTTGAATCATAGGGAAGTTTTTCTTGCCATGCCTATGGCCTTCTCATGGGACAAAATGCGAAAGGGAATAGAGGGCATCTACGTTGTATGTAAGAGGAAGTAAGACCCTGACTTTTTTTTGATGTTTTCTCAGGTGCTAAGTAGTGTCAGCTTCTTTGTTGTGCTGACTTATTGACCTTTCCCAGTTGTTATGGCTGCCTCTACATTATTTCATCATTACTAGCATTATGGCTGCCTGAGTTGTCCTTTAAATTTTTTTTCACCTTTTTCAAGGAAGAGACCTATTATTGCCAAGCAATAATTTTTTTTTTATCGTTTTATCCATTTTATCCATTTTAGGATGCCACCCTGAGCACAGCAAAAATTATAGCAGTTTAAAAATAAAACTAAAGGAAAATATCACACACATCAAGCAGTCTCTTTCCACCAATATTCCACAGTCAAAGATTGATGCTGTGTATCTATTTTATTTTTAATAAATTTTTGCTTATTTCATTAAATATTTCCCAATTACATGTAAAGATATTTTTAACATTCATTTTTAAAATTTTTGAGTTCCAAATTGTCTCCTTCCCTCAAGGAGAGGACTCCTTGAGAAGTCAAACAGTATGATATTGATTATACATCGATTATACTTATGACATTATGCAATTTCCATATTAGCCATTTTGCAGAAGAAAACACCTGGTATGTATTTTAAAAACACACATCGTCACCGAACTCAGAGAGATGACAATGATATGAGAAAGGAGAAAAGTTTGATTTGCAATCGACCTGCTGTCCTAGTAAGCCCTTGCTCTGCCTTTTTTCACTTGGGAACACAGTGGGACAAAAGCTACATTGCCTTTTTCACATAAGTAGTACGTGTGCATGTGAGACAGCCTTCAAAGTAATGAATAAGAACACATCTGCCTCTCAGTGGCAGGGAATGTTTTTAAAAGATGCATGCTCTTGTGATTTCTGAAATTGTTTTTTCTTCATACATATGTAAAGTAACCAATATTAGGTGTTTAAATTTGCTGATTTAAATGCACCTAAAGACGTTCTATATGCATAAAGAGGACTGCTCCAGACTTCATAGTGGCAGAAACAAAAATTCCTCATAATGTAATTATGAAATGACTTCTGAGAACTAGCCTCAGTGGCATTCAGAAGATGGAGGGAAGTGCAAGGGCATGGGAGAAGGATGGAGTAGGAGTGCTTTGGGACATAGGGGAGAAAGAAGGTGGCATGAAAGAAATGTGTGGCCCATTGGGAATTCTTATCAAAAAAGAAGCCTTGTCTCTTCTCTTATTTTGGAGAGAGAGATAGAGGAAGTACGTTTTCACTGGTTGTCTTCTGTACTTGGAATGCTCCCCCTCCTCACCTCTATCTTATGACTTCCTTGGCTTCTTTTAAGCCTCTGCTCATATCCTATCTTTTCAGGAGAGCTCACCCCTATGTCATATGTCTTCTCTTTGAGATTAACTTCCATCTGCACTATATAGATCTTTCATGTATATTTATTTCTTTGCATGTTATTGCATGCATTAGAACGTGAACTCCTTGAGAGCAGAGACCTTGATTTGACCTTTCGTTGTGTCCCCAGCACTTAGCACAGTGCTTGGCACATAGTAAGTGCTTAATAAATCCATATTGACTGACTTACGATTTAAACCAGTGCTGTGCCCCATTCAAATTTGGTTTTGTCAACTAGTCCTTGGTTTGTGTGGTGTTTTTTTAAAGTATCATTTGAGGTCAGTTCACATTCTCTGCTGTTGTGTTCTTCAAAAATGTTGCATCTCAAAACATTAAGGTTGAATATTTTAACCAGAAACTAAAAAGATAGTTCCATTATTTTTCTGTTTATTTACTAATTTGTAATGTTTTAGTGATGTGTGGTGTGTGTGTGTTTTAACACCAAAATCATGTACTAATGACCCACAGTCCAGAGCCTTTCTCATGACAAAGACAGATAAGCAGAACAAGCCAACTCAGTGAACATGTTTAGCAGAGCATTTAGCATTGCACATCCATAGTTTACCCACCTAAGAAGAAATATGTAAGATGATGTCTGTTAGTAAAGAAGATTATGACAGTGAATTAGTGCCAAATCTATGTATATCCATGCACAGTGAAGAGTAGAGGTAATTTATTCACTTAAATCAAATCCCCCCCAGTACTTTGATGTGAACTATCCACACCAGTAATTCATAATTAGGCTTCTTTAAGGCCCCAGTTCTTAATTTGTCTGGGTGTGGGGGGGTAAAGTCAAAGCAACGACTATCTGTTAAGCACCTGCTATGTGCTAGGCACTGTGCTAATTAAGCATGTGTGTCTGTGCACACACAATGTAATGATAGTAGCTCACATTTACATAGTATTTTATGGATTACAAAAAGTCCTTGAAAGCATTTTACAAGTAGAGAAAGAGATGCTCAGAGAGGCTAAGGGACAAGGCTACCACCTTGGAAGAACTGAAAATTAACAGGTCACTAGAAGTATCTCTGAAAACAGCTGCACAAAATCCCCAAAGCTTGGGACAGTACATTCACCATACTGTAAGCAGACCCCTGCCTTAACAAATAGTTTATAGCTCAAGTAATTGGCTAGGATCATGAGCAAGCAGTGCAAAAAGAGTCAGACCATAGAATATTAAATTGGTGACAAAGAAGATCAAAATATACAACCAGAAGAAGACAACAAAGTCAAAGCTCCTACATCCAAAGCCTCCAAGAAAAATTTGAATTGGTCCCAGTCCATGGAAGAGCTCAAAAAGGATTTTGAGAAGGAAGTAAGAGAAGTAGAGAAAAAACTGGGAAGAGAAATGAGAGTGATGCAAGAAAATTATGAAAAACAAGTCAACAGCTTGCTAAAGGAGACCAAAAAAAAAAAAATACTGAAGAAAATAACACCTTAAAAAATAACCTAACCCAAATAGCAAAAGAGGTCCAAAAAGCCACTGAGGAGAAGAATACCTTAAAAAGCAAAATTGGCCAAATGGAAAAAGAAGTCCAAAAGCATACTAAAGAAAATACTTCCTTAAAAATTAGAATGGAGCATTTGGAAGCTAGTGACTTTATGAGAAATCAAGAGACTATAAAACAAATCCAAAAGAATGAAAAAATAGAAGACAATGTGAAATATCTCAGGAAAAACAACTGACCTGGAAAATAGATCCAGGAGACAGAACTTAAAAATTATTGGACTATCTGAAAGCCGTGATCAAAAAAAAGATCCTAGTCATCATCTTTCAAGAAATTATCAAGGAAAACTGCCCTGATATTCTAGAACCAGAGGGCAGAATAGAAATTGAAAGAATCTACTGATGACCTCCTAAAAGAGATCCCCAAAGGAAAACTCCTAGGAATATTGTAGCCAAATTCCAGAGTTCCCAGGTCAAGGAGAAAATATTGCAAGCAGTCAGAAAGAAACAATTCAAGACTGCGTAGGGAGACAGAGAGATCTGCAGACGTTGGGTATGGCGCTTGACCAGAAGTGCACACAGCGTGGAGCATAATAGCTCCCAGAGCACCGAAGCAGAGAGAGATCTCAAGGAATCCCTCAGCTGTGTGCAGGAACGGTTGCCATCTGGCAGCTCTTTTCTCCACTACCCAGTTTTGGGTCACAGAACCATAGTGGAGAGGAGTGGTTATGAGCTTGGGCCCCAGCTGTGTACTGCGAAAGAAACAGTTCCAGAAAATAGCCATGTGGCTCTGATCCTGAGGGCAGAGCAAAAACTCAATTCAAGCCTTTACCCCAGAGTATAAGCCTGTAGTGCAGTAACAAGGACAGGAGTACCAGCCCAAAGAGGAGCCTGCCAGTTCATTTGTTCTGAACCTGTAGAACCTACCAGCAAGCTGTTAGTGACTGAGTCCAGCAGCAGTCTACAGAACCTCCCAAGCAAGGAAAATGCAACAGACCCAAACCTGGGTCAAGAATTTGCAGTTCTCAGACTAGGAGGATAATGAGCAGACCTCGAATTAATACAGTCCAGAAAGCCAGAATAATTCTCCATATTCTTATTTTTAAAAAAACTAAAACTCTTTGTGGGTGCTAATAAATACTGCATCATCTCTCTATACTTTTATATGTTTCCTAAAACCAAAACTAGAAAATAAAAATTCAAAGAGAATGAAATTTTTTTATATATTAGAAATTTTACTTATGTGGTCACTAGTAAAACACTTTTGTGAGCTATATATATGTGTACATATTGAAGTATGCTTACATATTAAAGTAAAAAATTCAGTGTATGCTGTTGCCCTCTTCCAGCTTCTCACTGTGGTATAGAAGTAACTTTCAGTATTCAATAACCATGCTAGTATAGTGTGAGCCCTGACAAGTCCAGCCAAGCTAGAATTTCAAGTATGGACGCAGCGATGTACCGTGCGTCTTTTGTCTGAGGACTGGGCTTCAAGTCCAAAGAGACTTAGAACCAAAAGATTAGCCATTAGGTGATGAATTTTTTTGGACATGACAATTCACTGGTGTGTTAGGGTTGCCATCTGTGTTGGTAGAAGCTGTATTTACACCAGTGGAACACAGATTGCTAAAATAATGAAGTACATGCATTTATACATGGCATTATTGAGGCCAAAGTCATGAGATTTAGTCTCTGTGTAAGGTAGATGATTATACTGAACCTCTGTGTTGCAAATTAGTCGCCACAATCTTCCTTAGTACTATTAAGAAAAAAAAATTCAAAGCACATTTTTACTTCTGACAATGATTAGCAGCAGCATCTTTGTGTAGTATTTTTTTCTCTCAATCTAGAGACTAAAAGAAATTAGGTTAGACCTTGAAATAAATAATTTCAGTAAATGAAAATATAGTATCAGTACCCGGTTCTTTAAGGCTACAAATTTTAAAAGCTCTATGAAATAGCTAGTAAATATATTGTGGTCCTGCAGTTGAGGTTCCGTAGCTCTGAAGATTATTTTAAAATGTCATAAGAATGCATATTTTCTGATATATAAGAGAGCTTTGTAGACATTTAGTGGGTTTCTCTTTTAAATACAACTTTCATCTGTTTTGTTTTGTTTTTCATCATCTGATATTACTGAGAGCAGCATCATTTTTTTCTCTTACTAATTTTTGGGGGGGCTTAGTGGCTTTTTTATTCTTAATATCCCCCCTTTTTTATTTTAAATAATTTATTTGTTTTTAGTTTTCAACGTTCACTTCCATAAGATTTTGAGTTTTAAATTGTCTTCCCCTTCCCCAAGATGGTGTGTAATCTGATATAGGCTCTACTTATACATTCATATTAAGCATATTTTCACATTAGTCATGATGTATAGAAGAATTAGAACTAATGGGAGAAACCCCGAGAAAGAAGAAATAAAACAAAACAACAAAAGAAAAGGAGAGCAAATAGTATACTTCCATCTGCATTCAGACTCCCATGTTTTTCTGGATGTGGATAGCATTTTCCATCATGAGTCTTGCAATTGCTGAGAAGAGTTAAGTCTGTCGAAGTCAGTCATCTCACAATGTGGCTGTTACTGTGTACAATGTTCTCCTGCTTCTGCTCATTTCACTCAGTATCAGTTCATTCCAATCTTCACAGGTTTTTCTGAAGTCTGCCTGCTCATCATTTCTTATAGCACAATAGTATTCTGTTACATTCATATACCACAACTTGTTCAGTCATTCTCCAGCTGATGGGCATCCCCTCAATTTCCAGTTCTTTGCCACCACAAAAAGAGCTGCTATGAATATTTTTGTTCATGTGAGTCCTTTTCCCATTTTTGTGGTCTTTTTGACACCCCCTTTTTTTTTTTTAAGAGAAACATTGTGTGCCTTAGACCCCTACTTTACATTTAATCCTTGCCTTTCTTCAGTTTCTTTCTTTATAAAAGAAAATAATTGATTTTATAGAAGCTTTTTTACTAAGGTCCATACTAGGGGTGGGGAACATGTGGCCTTGAGGCCACATTAGGCCGTCAAGTGCAGCCCTCTGACTGAATCCAAGTCTGATTCGTTCTGCGAAGTTTGGATTCAGTCAAAGGGCCTAGAGGGCCACACCTTGAGGCCACAGGTTCCCCACTGCTGGCTCTATACTCTATACTTTTAAATGATTAAAGATTCTTCTGTAGCACATACCCATGCATTCATGGAAGAATGTGATAGGCATTTCTGTTTTCAGTTTGACAAATCCTATTTTTTAAGTCAATTAAATTGAGATTGTCACAAACCTTTTTATTTGTTTACTAATTGTTTTGGAGGAGAAAATACTTATAAAAATTTCTTTTTTTTTTTCCACTTCATTTAAGCATATTCCAGGAAGGGAGTTAGTTATCTGGGTTTTTCTTGTTGAATAAATTCCTTTCATACAGGAGTTTTCAACCTACATAAAAAGACAAAACCAGAAAAAGCTGCTAGGTTACAGCTGAGCTGTCCTTTGAATTAGTTATTCCACAAATGTACTAATTTTAAAATTGACTTTCTGTAGGAGCAAGCATTCTTTTGCTTACTTTGGTAAGACAAATTAAAGCTTTATTTTTTATTTGTATATTTTTAAATTATTGGAGGTGTTCCCTTTCCCAGCTTGCTCAAGTTCTTATACTGTTGGATCATTTCCTCTTCTGCTGCTTCATTACCAGGTGAAGTTAGAGGATTAATAGGAGATTTATCTCCCCTTGGGACTATACAGTACTTTCATTAATAATGAGTTTTTTGTTTGTTTTTTTAATCAAGGCCACATCAAGGCAGAAAAGAAAACTAAGCTTTTGACTGGTTGGGAAAATTGTTATTACTTATTTTCAAGTTGGTTGGTTACCGGAATGGTATTATTTTCCAAAGAGAATAGCCATCTGTGACATCTGAAACAAGGTCATGTGAATAATAGTTATTCCTCTAAAATGAAGCATTTTTTTAACCTATATCATGTGTTTTCCAGCTAAAACTATGTTCTGAATTCCTATGGTTTTTTACTCTATGTACTAGTCATTTGGCCCTTACTACTGCCTTTATATCATTTGTTAACTGTTCATTTGTGTATATCTTGTCTCTTTGTTACCCACAGAGCTCTTAACTCTGTTCCTTATTGATAGTGTAGCTACTCAATGAATTTTTTATTTATGCCCATACGTAGGTAAGTACTTGAGAAATTGCTAGGTAAACCTAAAGAAACTTTTATTTTGTCGCATCAAAAAATTTTTTGTTTGGTTGGTTTTTTAGGCAATTGGGGTTAAGTGACTTGCCCAGAGTCACATAGCTAGTGTCAAGTGTTTGGTCTGAGGCTGGATTTGAACTCAGGTCCTCCTGACTTCAGGGCCGGTGCTGTATCCTCTGCACCACCTAGCTGCCCCTTTCGCATCAAAATTTTCCCCCATCTTCAATGCAATTGGGAGCCATAGTTCTAAATATTATCTGTACTGTGGTATTATTTGTATATTATTGTGGTATTATATGTGTATTATTTTTAGTCCGCCTCCAATACATACACTTACACATATACATCCTCTCTTAGAATTGTTTTTATTTACCTGAGTGAAATTATGTAAGGCACTTCCTTTTTTGAAAGTGATCATTTTTCTTTTTGTGCATTAAGAAAAGTTGGAGAAAAAAGCTTAATGAGTGGTTAAGTTTTTAAGGTCCTTATTTCTAAGATATGTTAAACTTACATTTGATTAACTATAAAAGCTCTGTATTTATGCATTTTGCTGTGTCTTGGTAATTTTAAATTTGTATTTTCTTTGGGTGTGCTATTCTAAGTGGGATTAATTAAGCTCCTGGGAAAGGATATTAATTAAATAGACCTTTTGAATTGTGTTGTTTTGTTGTTTTTTAATGTACTTTCTGTTTACAGTGGAAATTAGTCTTAATGGTGATAGGGTTGCAAAAAAAGAAAATTGGTCACAAATAAATCTGAGGCCTAGTGAAAAAAAGGAAAATGTATGGAAACCCATTCTTACTTGTTTTTCTTTATTCTTTATCCCTTCTACCTTTCACCACTCAAGATTCTTCTTGATGAACTGTCTTCCACCAAACATTGGGCATCCATGCATGTTTCAGATCACAGTGGATTTCACTACCGCCAGTTCTTGTTAAAGTCTTTGATAAGCCAAACTATGACTGACAGTGCTGTATTAGAACAGAGCCCTTTGGTAAGTGAGCATATCCCAGATCTTCCAAAAGATGATAATGAAGAAGACACATCAGCAGAACACCACAGGGTGGTGGATCTTTCCCGTCTTCTAGAGGACGAAGTTGAACTCAGCACAGATCTCATTGATAACTACCCAGGACATGAAACACTCTGGTGTCATAGGTAAGAGAAACCTCTTTCCAAAGCCTGAAGTTTCATGGCTGCTCCTCAGGAGCAGAGGAGTTCACAGAGGGGTGAAGGGGTGAATCCAATAGCAGTCTTGTATTGACACAGAGCTTATGGGCCTGTGGGGTAGGTGTTGTAATTGAGCTTTTGCTTGACTGAGAACTGCCAGACATGTTCCCATAGAGAATTTTAAAGCCCCAGGGGTGGCTGTCAGTACTTTTGTTAGTATTCTTTGCCATTATCTTAAGCCAGCCCCCAAAATGATTTTTTTTAAAGGTTTCTATAATATTTAGTATCAGGTTTTTTTTTTAATATTTTATTTTTCCCCCAGTTAAAAGCAAAAACAATTTTTAACATTCATTGTTTTTTTGTTTTGTTTTTCAGTTTTGAGTTCCAAATTCTGTCCCCTCCCTGGTAAGCAATCTGATATAGGTTATATATGTGCAGTCATGTAAAACACTGCCATATTAATAATTTTGCCCCACAATGATTTTTACCAAAGAGAATCCATGGTTACTTTGTTGTATCAGTTCACTTCATCAAGTATTTAGTAAGGACTTGCTTCATGCTGTGCACTGGGGATACAAGACAAAAATATAGAATCCTTGCCATTAAGGAGCTCATATTTTATGTGACTCCTCAAACCTTTCACGTCCGTAAACTAAGTTACCTTATCTGCTTTTCTTGGCTCTTCTCTTGAAAGTTTTGTTTTTCTTTTTATACTCAAAGCTTTTAGCCTAGTGCCTAGTATATAATAGGCGCTTAATCAATGTTTATTAAATTAATGAATTTTCAGAAGAGGAAGTAACTTGCTGAAAATCCCAGAAGATAATAATAGCTAATATTTATGTAATGTTTAAGGTTTGCAAAGCATTTTTATATATATTATCTCATTTTCCCTCATATTTATCAGATCTGAATTAGTGTTAACTTGATATGAAAGGACATGTTATTCTGAAATATATTATGTGCTGTGGTTGAACTGTATACCCCAAAATTCCACAGCTCATATAGTTTTATCTCACTCTTTTTTAATTGAGACAGTATCTTGTCACTATAAACATCAGTGGTATAATTGCCTTCATAATTGTTTTGTGTGTGTTTTATATTTAATTTTGTCCTCATGTTGATTTCCTCTCGAGAGAATGTAAGCTCTTCTATGGCAGACTTCTGTTTTTGTTTTTTCATCCCTAGCACCTTGTAAAGAGCCTGGCACTTAAGAGATATTTAATAAATACATTTTAGATAGGTGAATGAGTTCCATCTGTAATCAAGAAAGCTGACTCTATGAGAATAATTTCCTCAGGCAGTAAGACAAATTAAAGCTTTATTTTTTATTTGTATATTTTTAAATTATTGGAGGTGTTCCCTTTCCCAGCTTGCTCAAGTTCTTATACTGTTGGATCATTTCCTCTTCTGCTGCTTCATTACCAGGTGAAGTTAGAGGATTAATAGGAGATTTATCTCCCCTTGGGACTATACAGTACTTTCATTAATAATGAGTTTTTTGTTTGTTTTTTTAATCAAGGCCACATCAAGGCAGAAAAGAAAACTAAGCTTTTGACTGGTTGGGAAAATTGTTATTACTGAAAAAAAGTAAATGATACTTTAAATAATAGCAAAAAGAAACCTTCCAAACCATAGACAGCTGATCAGGTAATTTGTCCTTTAAACTCCCTTTCCTGTAAAGTTTATATATAATATGAAGAGGTATGTTAAATAGCAGATTAGATAATGTATTACACTTCCAAGAAAATCCTTTTCCAATGCTTTATCTTGGCATGGAGATATCTGTGGGTTTTTTAAGGTTGTATCAGCAAAGTTCATGCTGTGGCACATTCTGCTTAAATTATGTTAAGGCTTTTGAGGTGTGTTAGAAAGATAAATGAAATAAACTTTAAAGGACTTAGAGTTATGGCAGTAGAAGTTGATGGTTATGGAAGTGCATGTGATATGATCCTAAGAAGTTGTATATATGGCATAATTTTTCAAAGTTCAATTAAATTTGAAATACTCTTGGAATATTTTGTTACTAACAGAGAAGTCCATCATTTTTCTAAAGCAAATAACATTCTGATGTGAACCATCAAACTAATAAGTTTTGGGGTTTATTTTGGAGGCTTGGAAGGACAAGGGAGAATTTTTTTTTAACATAGTTATGTATTTTCTACTGAATGTTACCACACGGGAAGAGATGACAATAAGTGATTTCTAGTATGAACTTTAAAGGATGGGGAAGGGATCACATCTATTTAACTTGCTTTTTCCAGTACCCACCATAGCTTTGTGCATGTGAATGATGTGCTACTGTGATGTGTCATGACATGGAGGCAACTGTAGGATCTTGTCTGTTATGGGAGAAGTGCAAGTTTTAAAGAAAGGTTTGAGTCCAAATCCCTCGTGACAAGCTGTGTGTGTCTGTTATCTTAGTACCAGCCTCATAAAGGGTAGAGAGGTTCATCATCAGACAGTTGCCCTCCAAGTGATGGATTATTTTGGTGACAGCAACTCATGAATTAGTGATTAAGTTCAGGAGAAATGTTCATATTATTTCTGAATTATAAGGCAAACTACAATAATTGTATTAATAAAGTTGTACTTCTACAGGAAGGCCTTGGTAGAAGCCATGACCTAAGCACAAAGGAAAGGTATTCCTCTGATTCCTGAATTCTTGATTTTTGGTCAGGCTGGTTAGATTGATTTTTTTTTTAATACTGCATGGAGCAACAGTTTATCTGAAATCATTCTTTTTTGTATAAATGTGATATTGTGATTTTCATTTGTTAATAAACGTGTCAAGTGTCATAATTAGTTTCATAGTTTTTTAAACCCCTCCTTGAGTACAAAATACTATAACAGTTTAATAAGTAAACTAGGGACTACAAGACTGTAAAGTGTTCCACAGTTCTTAAACAGCTACTCTTCCCCACAAATCTGTTGTAAAGGAATAGGCATATTGATTTGAACTTGGGCCCTGTGTTTGAAAGCACCACCTTGATGCTTTTTTCAATGTTGCCAGACCTAACTTTGACTATATTTTATTTTTTCTTTTCCCTTCCTGGCCTCTTCTTTTACAAAGGCGGCATGTGTTCTACCTTCAGCACCACTTAAACAATAAGCTTCCTCACAGCCAGATGCGACTATCACCCGTGGACAGCAATGGTGGGACTTTACATGACTTAAATCTCAGCCCAGCAGTCACTCATATGACTCAAGCCATGGATGTGGATGGCTTAAATGACTCTAACAAGCAAGGCTATTCCCAAGAAACTAAGCGACTAAAACGGACACCAGCTCAGGACTCCCTTGGCATAGAAATGGAACACAGGTTTATTGAACAAATTTTGTCCACCTGCCGAAATGTAGAGCAAGCCAGGTTTGCTAATGCTTATAGGAAATGGCTGGTTACTTTGAGTCAGTGAAAGAGATGGAAAATTCCTGCAGGGTTTTACTTATAGTGCAATATTACTTTCTTTTCTTTTCTTTTCTTTTCTTTTCTAACTTACACAGTTGCATGTACTGGTTCTACTATTGGCTTCTTACCCTTTATGATCAATTTTAAGGTTTGTAGGAAGACTCTTCAGTCATTTGTTTTGTTAGGAACAGGCAATTCTTTTGTAGGGAAAAAAAAAACCAAAAACATTTTCCTAGTGTATAGTGAGTCTTAAATTTTGAGAAGAAAATTCATATCCTTTGCATTTCTACTTTGGGCAGCTTTGTATTCTGTTCTCATGATGTTTTTTCCTTTTTTTTTTCTTTTTTGGTTGGAAAGTTTCTTTGTTAACTTGCTATTAAAAAAAAACCTTTAGGACATAATACAGTTTCTAATGACTAACTTTAAATAACTTGATCCAGTTTTTTGTTTGGGAAACAAATATGGATAGGTGAAAATAAAAACAAATACTGACTCTAATGTGCTCTAGTTGTAGACTAAACTAATCAAGGTCGGTAGAGTTGGGTAAGCATAAAACTCTCTTCAGAGATACCAATTTATCAAAGGATTATTGATTTTAAACCCTAACTTTTAGAGGTTATGTTACTACAGTAATGGAAAATTATTTTAGTTATACTTCTTATTATTTTTCCTTTAAATTGGCATAGGCTACAAACACCCAACTTAAAACGTTTATAATTAGTACCAAGTTTTGTACCAAGTTAGCGTTTTGTTTTGTTTTGTTTTTTAGTTCTTACTATCTTCCTTCGCAGATTTGTTGGATTGGGGAATCAGATTAATTAAACATCGAAATTTGTTCATAAAAAGTTCACCTGTATTTTATTTTATTGATTTACCAAATCAACAAACCATTATCTTATTTATATTTCTGAAAATTTATGAAGTACACTACAGAATTCTAAAGAGATGAATATTGAAGATTTTTGGGGGGGGAAATAAATGTGGGGGCATCTTAAGAAATAGGTTAAAACATTTTAGCACTGAAATTGTCCAGACTGAGGACTCGGCAATCTACTTTATATCCATTGTATCCGTTGTCAGACTCTTTAGATAATTTTGAAACCAGGGATTCAGTCCCAGGGTTTCACTCTTGCTTTCCTTGAACCCCAAGGGTTGAAAATAATAGAGGGAGTTAATTGCTCAGTGTTTTCTTTAGATAATAATTTCCACCCATACTTAATTTTTTTCTCCCTCCTCATTATCTGTCCCTTCTTGCCATATCCCTGTGTTATTTCTTGTCACTTACCCTTTGTTGTTTGTATATTGTTTTCTTTTCTGTATTTCTTCAGCAAAAAGTACCCCATTTTTATTTCTTGTCTCACAGAAAAAGGGCCAGGAAGGATGTATAAGTATGATCAGTCCTATTAATACCAAATTGGCAGAAGTTGCTGACCAAAATAAGAATACTTTCAAATCCCCAACTCTCGGGGAGGGATGTAAGCAGTAGAAGTAGAGATGCAACCTCACCCTACCTCCTGTGCTTCCAAGTTTTACTTTCTTATTGGGGGGGGCGCTAAGGACTCAGGAGAAAGATAGATTTCTGCTATTTTACTCTTATGAAAACCCGAGATTAACTTGAATTTTTAAGGCAGTATAGGATAGTGGAAAAAGTCGTGGATTTTGAATTCAAAGGTTATGAGTTCAAATTCCACCTCTGTTATTTATTTCCTGGGTAACTTTGGGCAAGTCACTTTACCTCTTGGACCTCAGTTTGTTTGTTTTTTCTCACCTGTAAAATGAGATCATTGGTCTTTTCCAGCTATAAAGCCTATGATCCTATAACTGAAATAGGTTTCTCTCAAGGGGGTACAAAATTTACCCCTTATTTTGGCATCATAGCTCTGTTCAGTGACAGTCAGACAGTGAGCCTTAACAGGGTCCCAGGAAAAATTGGCCAGCCTGACCCTAGTGGACCTAGAGACCTTAAATGTATGACCAACTGCTGCTGGGCTTCTTCCTTGGGGTAAAAGTGACTGTTTTACAGACCTTTCAATCTATATCCTTATCCTTGTGAATATAGTCCTATGCCCTGATATACAGAGCCCTTTTTAGCAGAAGTTCCTGAATCTAATACCTCAGGGTCTGGAACCTCTATGGTAAGTCATTAGCTTGGGATTCTTTCTTAGTGGTTACATAGTAATGGAGAAGTTATAACAGGTCCAGTCCATCCTGCTAGTGTACATAGCCAACCATTGCCTCCATACAGTATTAACTTCAGTTTCTTTCCTAAGCTTAATTTTAATAATCCTCAATGATAGACGTCTCACATTTTCATGATTTTTCTATTTGAGAAAAACTATTGGAATATTTTCAGTAGTAAATTGAAACTTTTTGGTCTAGTTTTTCCACTCCTAACAATGTTCTTATGAATTCAGGACCTTCTTATACCTTCTCTAAAACAGCTTCCATTTTAGTGTGGGCAGCCTTCAGGTTTTTCAAGGCTATGTCATGCCCCTAATTGAAATAATTCCGTTCCTAAATCTACATTGGTCTCCTGTCTTATCAAGGTTAGAGCAATAAGTGATCATTGACAGTTGGAGAGGAGGAACTGCTTGGCATCAGAAATTTCTGTGCTAGTTTTTTTCTGAAATTAGCGTGTGTTATGATTATTTAACAACAAAAAGTTTGGATATGTATGAATCCAAGGAGTTTCCCTACCAAAAAAAACCAAAAACCCAATTTTAGTTGTATAATGACATTGATTCTTAATAATTCTGGTAGTGTGGTACGAATAACTCTGATAGGAGACAGTATTAGAGAAGCAGGAATAAATAACCTTTATAGTAGAAGGTTGTGTGAGTGTTAAAGTCGCTTTTTTTATTCTGGAAAAGTCAAGGAGGAAAAGCTCTGTAAGCAAATTGACTGTTCTCCATATTGAAAGGCCACCCCATCCTCATGGCAAAAATGCAGCCAAGTAACACCCATAATCAGGAATTCAGAGTGATACTATGATAAATGAAATCAAACTACCCTTGTAGTTTACCCTTGTAAATCTTAACTTTTTTTCCCCTCAAGGTTTCCTACTTTTCGAGTGCAGTATTTGTAAACTATACTGTGTGCCTTGCTCATAAAATACTCAAAGAGTATAAGAGATAGTGACTGGCCTTGTGATTTCATTGATCTAGGGAACTACTCAGTGGTTTGAGGAAACACCCTCTACCAATTCAGGTAGGCACCTTTTCTTCAAATTAGAACCTTGGATAGTTGCCTAGAGTGCTGAGAATTTAGGTGACTTGCCAGGGATCACAAGACCAGTATATGACTGAGGCAGGACATGAATCCAGGTCTGACTGGTTTTGAGGTCAGCTGCTATCCACTACTATTTTGCCTCTCAAAGGTGATAATGAAATGATTAATTCCAGCAATATATGTGTATGTGTATATATATGTACATATATCTACATATTCAAAAATAAACTGGAAATACTCATTTAGGTGCTGGTTTAACATCCCATTTGGGAAAGGTGATATGAATACTGGCTGAGAATTCTAAAGCTAGTTCCACTACATTAAGATCTTTCCTTTGACCATTTTAAGGTGTCAGAATCAGACTTTAAGAGAGCAATATTTTTGTACCTGTGGGGTTTACCTGTTTGTTGAGATGTATGTTGGGTATATGTGTGTGTCTGCTTTTTTCTCAGCTTCTAAACAGTGAAATCCACCTTTTGAGATATTTCTCAAACTCACTACTGAGTCATTAGGGAAGCTAACCTAGACTTTGAAAGTCATCTTTTCTCATTCCTGCTTTGCAAATTTAATTTAAGTTCCCATGAGGTTATAATCAGAGAAAGTAAAAATAAAATAACTAATATGGATTGTTACCTTAGTGTTAAAAAAAGGATTTTTGTTCATACTGATCTATTCCAGAATTCATTAACAAAAATGAGACAGCAACTTTTCTACAGTGGCTTTTTTTGTATGTTCCTCAAAGAAGTGCCCAGGTAGCACATTTGGGGTGTTCTTTAAGTTTAGGTCATGTGACACCTTTGGCTTACTTCCAGCTGACCAGAGATACGTATGTACACACACACGCACACACACGTTTATGCATGTATGTGAATGTGTAGGTATTTACATATGTATACATGTAAACATGCTTTTGAATTGTTTTTTGATAAATGCTTTGTGACTCAAGAAAGGTAATTTCTTATTCCATTTTTTCCCCCACTTGATCTGAGTGTCAGCAAGAGGCCAAGTAATGGATGTATAATAGTTATTGTCCCCTGTGCCTCAGTTTCCTCATTGTCTAGAGGAAAGTGGTGAAGTTTTGCCAATAGAAGTATTACATAATCTTTTATATAATTCTTTTCCCCAAAAGATGTTTCAAACCTTCTGTGTTAACATGCTGTCCTTAAATTTAAAAAAAAATCCTAAAAAGCAAATTTTTCGAGATAATTTATATCATTTTTAATAGTTGCACTTTTTTATTTTTCATGTGAGATTCTCAGATGGGTCTACTCTACACCCATTAGCACCTTAAAGTGCCCCATCCCCAAAGTACAATGTATGCTAGAATCCTATTTTATGGAGGAGGGAGTTGAGACATAGGCATCACTGGAAAAATCTAACATCGTTGTAAGTTGTGAAGAAGAAAGGCATGATCACACCCATGGAAAGGTGTAAGTGAAAGGAGCCCTAGATTTCAAGCCTCATATCTTAGTTTTCCTAGTTTACTACATGTGTGACCTTAGGCAAGTCACTTAACTTCTGGGCCTCATTTTCCTTATTTGTTAAAATAAGGGGCTTGGACTAAATGATTGACTCTTAAGTTGCTTCTTTCTCTCTGCAGCCTATCAATTCTGCTTTGTTTTTTAGGATTTAAAACATAGAACTTTTTACATAAAACATACAGTTTTGTTTATTAGAGCGCCTGTATTCTTTGAAGCAGGATTATAGTCATTTAAATCTAATTTTGGAGGCAGAAACCAAAAACAATTTGAAGAATACTGACAGTTACATCAAGTGCCCAAGTAGTCATTCAGATGTAAACTGCTAGACAGTAGTGACTCTTTATTTCGGTAGACTTCTCAGTGAAGGGAATGTCGTTTGTTGTGTTATAGGTTGTGACATGGACAGATAGGATGTTTTGGTTTATATTTTTATTTAGTAATTAAGGTGTCCAAGCACTTTACCAAGAATTGGTATATTAGTTCCTTATAACCAATTTTTTTTTCTTGTTTGAGGTATCCCATTTATTTTTAATGGTTACCATATAGCCTTTTTATAAAGGAGCTGTGGTATTGCCTCCTAAAAGAAAGAACAGACGTTAACTTTAAGTGAATCTTTTGTCTTGGTTTATTCAAAGCCTGAATTCATTCAGAATTTCAGACTTGACACAAAACAACTGAAAAACATGATAACATTATGTAGAAGTGAAAATCTAAAATGTGAATGTATAAAGAGGTGCAAATAATAGAAGAAAAAATAATTTTAAGTAATACTTTGTGACTTCATAACACTTTTCTTACCTAAGATCCCAAAGTGCTTTACAGAGAAATGTTAGAACCGCCATCATACAGTATGTTTTGCAGGCTAGGCAAACAGTAGACACGTTGTGATTCTGGGAGACTAGTCCTTTGAGCCTGCCTCCCATACCACCCTTTGGTACTATTAATTAAGCAGGCTCAGGCTCACTTCCTTCTTAGCACTATCAGAAACCAAACTCTTTCCTCAGAAACATGAATTATAATAATGAGGTAGCATAGTCTGCTCAAGAAATCCTGTGCTTCCAAGAATATTAACTTCAGACAGTTTATGCTTTCCAAATATTAGTATAGTCAGTGATACTAACCCTGACATTTCCTTTATTAATGTGTAATTTATCTCTCAGGGTATAGGATACTTAGTAAATTTAGGGTAAACTTTTTATAGTCAGTGGCAAAAATAAAAAAATAGAGGCATAGTTGCCTAATATATTACTAGCTCTCAACATTTTTAGACTAGATAGTATTTTATATAAATCACTAGCTAATATAGGAGCTGGTTACCTGCTTTGAGACTGCCTTGTTGCGCATCTATGCTGCTCCCCATAGTACATATTGTGAGCATACTTTAATATGTATCTTATAAAAATTATTTATATATTTCCATCTTCTCTATGTTTCAGGGAAGGCAGGAGAGAATGTATCTGTCTTGTCCTTTTGGTTGCTATAGAATTAACAAGTTTGAAAATTTGAGGAGAATGAACACTAGAGGTACACAGATTTTAACAGATGTTTTGCCTCATAAGATGTCTGTCTGCTGGACAATGTTTATGTCCATGCCATCTGTAGTTCAATGTGGAGAGCTAAATTGTTAAAGATTAGGGTTAAAATTGTCTTTAGTTCTGTTATTTGGCACTTCGAGTATGTAAGAATTGGGAGAAATATCATTTTATGCAAGAGAATTTTGATAGAACGTTATTATGGAGAAGCAAATTATCTCTTTGGGGGGAGACTATTGTAAATGAACATTGTGACTCTCCAGCTACATAAACATAACAAATAAAATTTAGATTATTCTGCTCCATAGAATATAAATACAAGATGAAATGAAACTTGGAATTTAGATTTATTTGATGGATTTCAAAAAGTGTTTTGTTTTACATTATCACACCCAAATTTTGGCAAGATCTTTCTTCATGCAGTGTTGCTAAATACAGGCTTTCTGATTAAAAAAGGTCTCCCCTCTATAAGTGAGATGAAAGGTTGACCCAAGCCCACATGTGCCTGAATTAATCAGATAATTGTGTCAACCTTGTACTCTTGCTTTGAGTATCACTCCCCTTCAGGGTAGTGGGGAACCAGGATACTCTGGAGCTTTCCATAACTACCATTAGAGTCAGCCTTAATGTGGGGCATGGCGATCACTTTCTCTAAGTACTATGCAGTATCATGCAGAAATGTTTACTTTTTACATTATATAAGTAATTTATATCAGATAAGATTTTTTCATATCTTGAAAAGGGCAAATGAACATATGAACAATTTTAAATCATTATTATGCATATTCGTATTTATTAAGTATTCAGTTATTTCCCTCAAATCTTGCATTTGGTACAGGTGTGTTCTCATTTAATAAAAAGTTGAGTGCAGGCTAAGTAAAAATGCATTTAATTGATATTCAATAAATACTTACTGGCAGAGTCACTGTGTCAATCAAACTGATAATAAACCTTAAATAATGAAGGTGAATGTTGTCACCCATTCTTTGAATGGAATTTAGTGAAATTGTTTTACGTTTTGACATTTTAAAGTTATATTGAGATGAATTATTTTGACTTCATTGTTTTTTAAAAATGTGTTAATATTTACTTAGAATATGGTCAACCGTTACAAATTGCAAAAACTTGAGTGATATTCCCTAGTGCATAATTATAATTCTTCATTAGATTTATCACTAAATTATTTTGAGAGAACTATTACAGTCTTGGAAGCTAACCAGATTATATTTTGATGTCAGGTATTATTTAGTTTAGGTGCCATTTATTTCCTCCTTAATTGCTGTTGCTTTCCAATATACTTTTCTTAATGGTAATGAGTAAAATGTGAAATTAACATAAATATTTATCTACTTGTGTAGTGGTTTTTAGGGGCATCTTTCCTAGGATAAAATCCACTACCCTTCACAAATAATAAAAATGGAAGTACCAAGAATCTGAAAATTTATGAATAAGATTGATAATTATAAACCTTTCAAAAGATATTTGAGAGAATTTTCCTGGGCTCCTAATTAAATATATGAAAGCAATATGAGAGATGGCAGTTGATTGTGGGTCATGGCTATAATTTAGGTTTTCTAAGCAACAGAATCATTATGTCTGTTGTTTAAGCATAAATTATCAGCAAAAAGAGAATACTCAAACTGAGATGAGTTTATCCTTTTGAATTGACAAACTAAAAATTACAAGATTATCAAAATGTAGCATATGATAGAAATTATTCCTTATACTATGACGGAGAGAGGGGGGGAGAAAAGAAATAATTAGTCCTGAAATTATCAAAAGAGAAAATCAAATTGACACTAAAAATAAATGAGTAAATAGACCTTTTCATTACTAGTCAGTGATGTAGTCACCTGGAATTTGGAACCCTCTTAGTGTTAATATTCCTCACATGTTTCTGTTATTAGAATTTACTACCTGTGTTAATCATATGTTGCCTGAAGATTTTCCAAGTGTTTAAAATTGAGTAAGTTGCAGTTCAAATTTGAAATTGTTTTAAGATGGCATTAAATAGCTCATGGTCAAATGTATGGAATACTTGTGGTACAAGGTGTTGTCTTAGGCATTAAAGACAAGTTTGATTAAATTTTCTTACTGAGGATATTAAGTTCATTTGCTGTACTAATATTTTCTTAAATTGCACTGCTGATTTTCCCCCATTAAAGCAAACTGCACAAATCCTTTTTTCATTGTTCATCTCAAAGTCATTTTAGTAACTACTGATTTCCAGTTATGTAGATGGTATTTCACTCTCACATTATAGATGTCATAAAAAGATAAAAACATTGATACAAAGTAATGAATGAATGAAGTATTATCCATACTTCATACCCCACCTCAAAACCCCTAACAACTGATGCTAAATTTCAAGGCTAATGTGATGGTTTTTGTTTATTGTGTGTTGGTCATGATAATTTTTTTTAATTGGGAGAAATTAATGATGGAGGCAAACTTATAGTATCTTCTCATTTTTCCTTCATCTCCATCATATTACATATATATTTTAGAGCAACTGGCCAAATTTTGCCAAGCTTTATTTTATAAGGAAAAGAAAATTCCATGCTATGTGAAATGCCATGATACTCTGATATCTGATTAGACTAATACCCTACCATTGTTTTTAAATTATGTATACTAAATTATGCTGTTTCCATAAATAATAGTTAATGTTGCATGTTAATTATATATGTATACATATTTTATTTTCCTTTTATTCTAATAATATAATATGTATTAACAACCAGCCCTGGCATTCTAATCTTCCTATTCAGCTGTCTTCCAGTACTTAATGGTACAATTTAAGTGATTATGAGTGACAGAAAAGTAGAATGGGCTATCCTTTTTTTCCATTTAATTTGGTTTTACATGTTTTAGCAAGAGTATACTAAGCACAGCCATAAATTGTATTTCTGTAGAAAAGGAAAATAGTGTATCTTTTTTTCTTTGCTAAATGTTGTCACTTTTAAAATAAACTTTTCATCTCCTAAAATAAGTCATGGAGTTGGTGTGTATTTTTTACATTGATATTAGTCTACTTTGTAAGAAGGGAGGAGGGGAGGGAGGGAGAAAAATTTGGAACTCAAAATTTTGTTTAAAAAATGTTAAAAATTGCCCTTATGTGTGATTGGAAAATTTAAAATACTATTTTTTTTTAAATCTGCACCATTGGAAGGAATTTCTGAATTAATGAAGTTAGTACCATATTTGAGTATGAATTGCCAGCTGTCAGCAATTTTATCTCAACTTTAAGACTGTATGGGTAATGACCATTCTTTTTATAATACTCAACAGATCTGTGATCTCATCAAAAATGGTATTTCCCTTCTAATAATATAAATCAAAAACCACTCCTGCCTTCTCATCCTGTGATTCTAGTCCATTTTCTAGCCTAAATCCTCTGCACAGGTTCTACCCAATAGGCTTGAAGTCCTTTTTCACATTTGCTCTTGCCACATGAACCTTCCCTCCTTTCCCTCCAGAGGGAATTCCCTCCAGAGGATTCAGTAGTTCAGTGTTACTGCTTATGTCTTGGGTCAGATTGGTAAGCCTCGAACAAAAATGTAGCCAATCAGACAGCGACCATCCTCCACTCAGGTGTCAAATCAATCTTCCTAAAATGCAGATCTGACCATGGCACCTCACCACCACCACCACCACCATTCAGTAAACTCCAGTGGTTCTCTATTACCTCGAGGATCAAATATAAAATCCTCTACTTGGCAGCCAAACCCCTTGGGCCCCATGCTATAGCTGCTGCCCCTTCCCCCTCCTTCCTTTCCCAGGTGGGGGAGTGCAAAATCAAAGGTGAAGGCTAAAGGGTGAAACTTTCCTCTCTTATGAGAGAGGCTAACAGATACTCTTTTGATTCAAGTGAAGGCAGTGGGAGAAAAAAGTGACCAGGGTTGTAAGGAGGTGTTCCAAACTCCTTAATGATCAATCACAAAACCTCCAGAATCTGCCAAGACATTTTTAGCTGTTCTGACTTATCCCTGTAACCTCCATGAAGGGGAATTCAGAGGTGTAGAGGGAAGGGAGTAAGTAAGCCTCAGGGAACCGAAAAGCAACTGCAGTTTTCCCCAATTCTCTAGTGCTAAGAGAACTGACAGAATTGGACATACACTTCCAGACAGGGAGTCTGTCCTTATCCTCTATGCTGCGGAAGGTGTACCCAGGTCCATGGCCTTGAACCAAACCAGTGGACCAAGAGCGTGAGAATGTCAGGCCGAGTGAGAGACAGCCTCGTAACCATCTGCCCGAAAAGCACCTCCAAGGCTTGGTGCTTGGAGAGTGACCCCAACTGCAAAACAAGAAAGGGGGTGGGGGGGAGGTTTACATACCTTCTAGTCTTGGCTAGAGAAGAACTTGGGGTTAGGCAGTTTCCCCATACAGGTCACCAAATGTTGAGATTTAGAGGTTTAGGGGTGCTGGGACCCCAAAGTCACCATATGTGGGGCCTGCCAGAAAGAATTCAACCCAAGTCTTCTTTCAGCTAAAGACAAGGTTTGTTAAAGATCCGCCATATTAGCCAGACTCTTAAGGAATCTGAGCATCTGTGAATATTGACTAGATTGTAAAAATCTGAGCATTTGGCTAGATTATAAGAATCTGAGCTACTTTCTAAATATATTGAGTTGCAGAATAATTGCCAATCTGCATTAGTGGAGAGCTTCTACTTTGGGAATTACCTTCACAAATGAAAGCACAAATTTTTCCTCCTCCAAAAAAGTAAAATGTAGTTGATTTACAAGGGAAGACAATGCTGTACAGCAAAGTCATTGCTACTTGTTCCATAGTTAGGAAGCTGACCTGGGTTCAATGAAGGAGAACACATGTCAATGGTAGCTATACTTGAGATACAGTAAATAATCAGTAAGAACCCATGCAAGTATCCATTATGTGTAATTCTTTAACAGAGTAACTTTTTAAAGTTTTAATTTTCACAGTTGATTTATTTTATCATTGAAAGAAAGCAAATCCATGTTAGGAAATTATATTTAAGGTAGTTACATAACTTCTGTAAAATTACATGCAATAATATAGATTAATGGAAAAAAACAAATATATTTGTTTAATTTCTTTCTCCCTATTTTTTCTGCCCATAGGAAGAAAGCTGTCACACATAAAATACAGAGCATATGCAGGCATCAAAATGGTTTCTTGCTGACAAATTCAGAGAACAATTAAATATAAAACATTCGTATGTGATATTTCCAACTAACAAACCCTAGTTAAAATAATTTCTTTGGCAATTCATTTTAAAGAGATTTTAGATTTAAGAAAGATTGATCCACTGATTTTATCGTTATATATGTTTTGTCTTT